TGTGTGTGTATGTTTAGTACTATATATATATATACATATATACTATACACACTATATATATATATATATATATATATATAATATATACATACATATATATATATATATACATCTATATGTATATATACATATACATATATGTGTGTACATGCATATATATATATATTTATATATGCTTCTATACTATTTATTTATATATGCATATACAGAATATATATGTAGATGTATGGTTGATGTGTTTGCGTATGTGCAGATGCGCAGATGTAATTGTATATTCTATTTGATATTACCTATATATGCGTTCATATGGACACTACAACTCGGGCGGATGACACCGTGAAGAATCACAGGCCAGATGTCTAAATATAATATATATATATATATAGAGTCATTTGAACACTTTTTGCCAGTTGTGTGCTCGTTTGTGTTTTACTAAGTTTAGTCAATGATTTTGCTACGCACACACTTATCATGCCCTCAGCACGGCATGGATGTTGATCTCTTATCCCAACGCTTTGTTCTGGTGCGTGCAATGACACAGTGAACCGTATCGTACAAACACAACAGTCAATAGTACGCGGACAACAATCAGCTCCATGCAAACACAGCCCATTTGCTGACCTTTACATTCTCTTCGATCCTCCATATCCATAGTGACTCTTCTAGGGCCAGGGCCAGAGACAGAGGCCGGGACAGAGATAGGGATAGAGACAGTCGACGCTCGCGAAGGAGCCGATCTCGTAGTACCAGCAAGCGGTCCACTCGTACTGCTCGATCAAGGTATGGACAGGTGTAAAGGCCGTATACCGGTTTTATAACGGTACTGGTGTGTGTGTGTGCAATGTGTATGGCTGTGCTTGTGTACCGGTTTTATAACGGTACTAGTGTGTATGTACAATGTGTATGGCTGTGCTACCAGTTTTATAACGGTACTGGTGTGTGTATGTACAATGTGTATGGCTGTGATCTACACCGCACTCGTATCCCTATCATGCTCTCTCGCTAGTATTTAAATCCATATACATAAGCATATTCGTATATACCTATCATCTACACCGCACTCATATAAGTCTTGCATCCCTTTCACACATCTTTCAGGTCCAGAGACCGCAGACGATCGTCACGCCGATCCAGGAGCCCTCGCCGAGAACGCGATCGCCGTAAGTACTGCGCATTTGAGCATCTTAGTGTTTACATAGTCTGATACATATGTTTATATGTATACCAATATGGGTGCTAGTATATGCGTGTGTATGCAACGTTAATTCACCAATATCAATCCCAATATGGGTTTCAATATAGGCGTGTGTGTAAGTAGAGATGTACACCCACTGTACTTGATCGTCAATTCACCAAACGACCTTTACTTGTTCGGTTGATTGTACCGTATCATATCTAATTTATTTATTTATTTTTATGCTTATTGCTCATCCGCAATAGCAGGTTAGAGGTGCGTTGCCCACAGTGTGTATCGGCGTTTGGATTTAGAACCGTTTCACATGATTTTGTTGGATTGTATCTGATACTTTCATCGTATATAGAAACCTAACATCTAAATAAATTCTCTGAACAATGTTACTAACAGGCCACAGATCGAGATCAAAATCGCCTCACAAAGACGATGAGAAAGCATCCCGTCGCTCGGGCAAGGCAGATGATAAAGACAAATCCAGCGATAAGAAAGGTACCGGTAAGGACACTGACGACAGATCGAGTGAGAAGGATAAAGATGCGGAGAAGGACAAAGACAAAGATAGTAACGATCAACCGAAAGACCGTAGCAGAGACAAAGATCGCGAGAGCAGGCGGGAGAAGGAGGGTGGTAAGAGTGGTGACAAGGATCAAGACAAAGGCAGTGAGAAGAGTGGTGACAAAGATAGAAGCAGAGACAAGGAGAAAGAAAGGGGACGGGATAGAGACAGAGATCGCCGGGAGAAGGACAAGGGGGGAGAACGTAAGGGTGGGGAGAAACGGGAGAGGAGCCGACGCAGCGGCAGTCGAGGTGTGGATAGGCACCGGCACAGAGATGGGGATTCGGATCGCAAACTCGCACGAGGTGATGAGCCAAGCACTGCCAAAGAGAGTGGACGGGATACGACGAAGGACAGCGGGGCGGAGGAGATGAAGGAAAGCAGTGGTGGCAAGACATCAGAGAATGGGGAGGCAGAGGGACAAGAGAAGCACAATGATGAGGAAGATGCACTGAGGTGTGTGTGTGTGTGTGTGTGTGTTCTATAGTTTGCTCTATCGTTGATCTGCTATATGGCGTTGTACATGCTTATCCATAAAATACGTTTGTACGCGTGTTATAGGGTTTAACGTTCGGTTGTAGTAGGTGGTAGCGACCCATAAATACATTTGTACTGAAGCCCACCGTGACATGCCGAGGGCTGGAATTGTAAAAGTAGGTATGCGCGGTGATAGTGTACATGTAATTTCAAATTGATAGCTTGTTGTGCTCTGGCTCATATATGCATATGTACCTACATTTGCTTTGAAATTGGACAATTTGTTTATTTGTGGTGTTGTTTCCGCAGCTTATAGCGGTGTACTTATAAAGGCAGACCCAAATTTTCTCTATACATTCCAAACTGATATTATTGTGACGTGTTGATGAACGCAGACCCAAATTTTCTCTACACATTTCGAACTGATACTGATGTGACCCAAATTTTCTCTACATATTCAAACTGATACTTATATGATGCTCTTATGTTCAGTGCCAAAACGACAGAGAAAAGTGTTCCGGAAACAAAGAACGGAAAGGATCTTGACAAGCCCGCTCCAGTGGCCACGGCAGTAGAAGAACTAGTCTTCTCACCGTGATACTATAGCCTCTTACATAAAGGGTCTGGCAGCGTACATGCACGCCCTGTTTGATGTTATATCTGGGTCACTCTGAGGTTGTGTACCCCACATTTCAAACTGTGTATGGAGTGTTGGTTCTAAAAATGGCCGTCACATATGGCTTAGCGAGGATGAGAAAGCAAAGCATGACGCAAGTTTGCTGTCTGGTAGGTGAATGCAATCTGGTCAGACATCCAATCCACGTGTTGTACTGGAAGCTACAATCGAGTGTCAAATGACATTCCCACATGAGTCTTCTTAGCCTTTTTTTTCGGTTACAATTGTAGATCGACAGATAAGGTAGTAAACAATAAAACTACAATTCATCGGAAATTCAGCGGCTGAAACTAGTTTATAATTCAAACCCGATGCCTTCGGGTGTACAACAACACTGTGACTGTCCGTTCAAGATTTGATTCACAATCAGTCAAGGGTATTTGTATCTAAATGTTCATTCAGAGCTCAAATTGTGATTTGTGTTTCAATGCGCACTGCTGGTAGTAAACCCACCGAAGGTTGAGGAGGTTTCAGCGCACTTTTTTATTATCTTGTCGTGGGTTACGAACCAAAATAACCTCCATGAAATATGAAAACGTATATTTTTCGTGGTAAGTAAACCCACAGTACCACGCTCGTCAGTCGTCACACTCATTCCTGTTCACTTGATTAAAAATACTAAACCTTTAAAAAAGATGCAACACACAAAAACGTGCTCTTTTTTGAATTTGTTGAATGTCTCTAATTCTCTATCCGCCATACGGCAGTCGGCACCAATGAGCATAAAATTATTAACGCCCGAGCCCGTGTCTAAATAAACCGCATCTGGTCCATCCATCGAACTGTTACTGTTGGGGCAAAGTCGCGAATAGTGGTTAGCGTTTTACAACCCAATGACAAAAAGACAAAACAAAGCAAAACAAAACAAAAAGCAATAAAGTACATTTTTGAGACCGGCTTTTGGTTTGGTATAAAAAAATTATCTTTAACCTTTGCCCTTGCTGCTCTGAAGAGTCAAGATTGAAGGCTAAAACTTCAGTGTTAACTCTCAACTTCAAATCTCAAGTTCCGGGATCAAAACTTCTCGGCTCTCGACTGCTCGGGCACTAATTTCATTGGAGTTTCCAGTCTGCAGAGTCAGAGGTTTTTTTATGTAAATATTGAGTGTAACTCCCGAGGAGTCTCCGACTCTAAGTATTATTGACCTCCATTTTAACACCTCGTTTTTATTCGTTTTTAGGGTTTAATCTTTAGAGAGAAGCTTATTCGATTTTTATTATTTCCTGTGCAGCTATGCTCGATGAGATGAAAATCGAGAAAAAAAATAGGTTCAGAGAAAATTCAATATTCTAATTTTTGCAATGCTGTTTTGAAATATTGTATCTCTTTTTATTTTTAGCATAGCCTTCTAATTTCAAATTGTAAACACCTATTTTTTTAAAGAAAAAGACTATGGTTAATGGTAATTCAGTATTGCTGTGTATAAATTATTAAATTTGTGCCATTGTGATTGTGGTAATGTGGTCTGTGTAGTTGTTCACACTTCACTGTTCTGCTGACAATTTTAAGAGTGCCGTATAGAGTAAAAACTATAGACATTCTGTGGAAGTCAATGGAACGCCGAGGATTGCAAGTATTTAGGCGGTTCGGATGTGCTGCTTTGGTTTAGGCCCTCCCGACCCCCGCGCCCTAGTTTTTGGGACTTCGAGTGCATTTGCGACTTTTAACTTCAGGTGATTGGTTTTGAATTGCCTTCATATTGGCGTTGAATTGGCTTCATATTGGTTTTAAGGTGAGTTCAAATTGAGAAAACGCATTTTTTTAAGTATTGAGAATTTGAGACCCAATCTGGCCTGAAACCCTATGGGTACAAACTACAAACAAGGGTCAGGACAAAATTATATGTCAAAAGTTCCCCCCCACCTAGTTTTCGGACTCTCTCCGGTGGCTAAACCTAAGTAGCACATCCAAACCATTTTATTTGAGGTTGAGAGTTTAGGACCTTTTTTTTTTAAAATAGGATTTATTTCCACAGCGGCATATCCTCAGAGCCAGACCTAGCCTTCTATTTGTTTTTAAAAACAAAAGGGTAGGCTATTTGTAAGGGTGTTAAGATTTCTCTAAAAAGGATTTATTAACACTTTTACAGCACAGACTGTCTGAGAATGTTAACGATTGTCATAGAGAATGTTGTGGAGTAAATATGGTTTTTTAAATATGTAGAATATAAAGTCTATGTATGATGAAAGATCAAAGTCAAACTGCAATGGACCAATTGTATATTATTTTTTTTAAATACATCATGTAGAGTAGTGAGCTGATGAAATATGAGTGTGAACTGTGAACTGTGAAGTCTGAACTACGAAGTATGAACACTGAACTGTGCTGTATGCGCTCACTGCACACTGATTCTGAACTCTCTGAGCAGGAGTCAAAAGAGGAAGGCGGTGAGGCCCGGTTTTTGATAAAAAATAACAAAATATCTTTTTTGTTTGTTAAAATAAATATATAAGTTTATTTTAGTTTGTGACCTTTTTGTGTGAAGGCTGAGGCAGTGAGGCCCGCCTGAGACCGAGGGTGAGATGTAGCCTCATGAGCCACACTCAACTGCAGACTTCAATACGTGTTTTACTTTTTAAGAAAACGTAGTACGTTCTACGTAAACGATTAGTTTTGAAACCGTTTTCCCGTTTTCAGGTGGTATAATGGGAGTCAATTCCAAAACCCAATTTTGTTTGGATCTACCTTCTATAGCCCAATTAATAGCTGTTATGTTTTGACAGTAGAAAATCTGTCAACACAACAAATATTTTGGTGAAATATAGTTGGCGGGGGTATGCCAAATATAACGGCGGGCACTAACCCAGACCCCTGTAACGTATGAAAACGTAGTACGTTTTACGTTAACGTTTCAATCTGAAAGCAAAAAATAAAATGACGTAAATCGGACTTCTGACTATAGCAAAAGACATAAATAGAGGCCGGACGTGTCGTCATAGAGAAGCAGTTTCCGACGGTCTTAACACGTCATCATCGCGAAAAGTGCTGTCTATTCAAGACATTCGTATTTTACTACTTTATGACTTTTTGTACGTAAATATTTATAACAATAAAATTATTTTAGCCTTAGTAAAATCATAGTCTCCATTTGTTTTTGTTTTTTTAAACAAAAGCAACAAGAAGGCGAACTATGAGTCAATAAATAGATACTTATTTAAAATCAAAATCTCAATGTAATTTTTTTTTATTTTTTTATCAAAAGAAGAACAATATGTATATATTCAATATAAATACCGATGGTCATTGCGATTTTTTTATAGATTATTATGGTGTTTTTATATTTATTTAAAAATAAACCAAATATGAATACATACAAACGTTACTTTGTTTTTTCTTTTATGTTTTATTAAAAACAACAATTTAGAAGGCTATGTAGTAAATATGTACATTTGTATATATATTTTTTATATTTATATATAGAGATGTCAGAGTGGGTCCAACTTCACACTACACAGCACAGTTAAGGTACGAGCCTACGAGTTGAACCCCAGAATTATACTCACCGTTTCAAGCACCGCAGCTTGATTTATTCAACTTCCGTGTACAGACAAATTCCTGACTAGAATTAAATATGAGGACGGATACAAAGTGCTCGGGCGCAGAGCTTCTGAGGAAGAATGTAGTGTCAAATGTCCCTGTTACTTCTGAGCCAGATAATTTAACGTTGACTAGGGGCAATTCACTGTGTGGAAGTACTTCCACAACGCAAACAAAAGCGATGGAAGCACCTAGATCTGGTTACACTTTACAAAGAAATAAACCGAAGCCGAAACAACGTCCTGTACCGATTAAGGTGGAAGTTTCTCAACGGCCAAAACCTCGGCCAGTGGTAAACAATGAAGTGTGCAGTGCATGTACGGAGGACTGGCGGAACAGCTGTGTGATTTCAACTCCGTCATACACTAAAACGCATAGTTTGCTTTCAATATCCGGCGATATGCCAGTGCAAAGTCCTTCAAATCCTGCTTTGAGTGACGAAGATTTCAGTAAAATTCCCAGCAAATCTAGTGTGTTGAATGATGTCGATATCAAACATTCTGATGGAGTCGCTACGGTATCAAGCAACTTGCGGAGGCGGCGCGTACTCGCATCTTCGGCATCTGTGGAGAATACTACACCATCTGAGATCAGAGTGATAACTGTTAGAAGGCAAAAGACATTTCTAGCGAATACCGAACAAATAAGAAAGACAACTACTTGCATGGAATCAACAGAACCTCTTCGATTTAAAGACCAAAAGAGCACTACCTCACTCGAATTTACATCACATCATGGTGATACAAGCTTAGAGAAAGATACTAGAAGGAGTCATAGTTCTCAACTGCCAAATAACTACCGAAAGTCTGCATCAAAGACGACACCGAGACTGTACATTACACGTAGCGGAAAGCTGAATGAACTGGCAGTATACCATGATGCACAAGTTGTTGCAAGGAGAAAGTCAGAAAATGACACAAAACAGACACAAGCATATTTGGAGCAGAAACGTAACAACCGACACAGTCTTGAGTTTGGAAAATGTGAAGCTCAAGTACGTCTCATCGAGTATGGCAACAGTCTCTCTATTCCTACTTCCACCCGAGAAGAGAAATTACGTTTGAAATCGCCGTCGCTTTTCAAATGGATTACGCCAAGCATGGAGTTTCTACACGGATCGGATTTAAGCAGTTCTCCTCGGGACGGGCAAGAAAAACCGCATATTAGGCCGCCGTTCAATTTCAAAAAGGCTGTATCGAGCACGGAGTGTCCGCGTAAACTGGATATAGGCAGAAAGGGCATGCAGACTTGACGGTAAATTCGACGCATACCATATATTTGTATTATATGTCTTGGTAATGTACACAGACTAGCAACCAGAGCAGAATATATATTCACAGAACATAGAAACTTATTTGTAATAAAATTCAGACCCCTATGCCAAATCGAGAGCGCTGTTTTACTTCACAACAACGACACTATTTTGTTTGTTCATTGCACACATACTTCACAACAACGACACTATTTTGTTCCTTCATTGCACACGTACTTCACAACAACGACACAATTTTGTTTCTTCATTGCACACATACTTCACAACAACGATACTATTTTGTTCCTTCATTGCACACGTACTTCACAACAACGATACTATTTTGTTCCTTCATTGCACACGTACTTCACAACAACGACACAATTTTGTTTCTTCATTGCACACATACTTCACAATAACGACACAATTTATTTTTTCATTGCACACATACTTCACAACAACGACGCGATTTTGTTTCTTCATTGCACACATACTTCACAATAACGACACAATTTTATTTTTTCATTGCACACATACTTCACAACAACGACGCGATTTTGTTTCTTCATTGCACACATACTTCACAACAACGACGCGATTTTGTATCTTCAGTATCAACTGTGAAACTTCTGAAATTTAACCTTGACCACTGCAGATCATAAACCATATCAGTAAAATAGTAGACTCGTCTATCATATCGATGTATGATTTCATTCTTAAATCTCTCAGTCAAATCGCGGGTGTCGATGCGGAGCGATCGTTCAAATCTGAAAGAAATCGATCAGATTGTCTCTCTAGTTTTTGTAACCCTTTGTGATAAAATACTATCAAATTGTGTAACGTATTTAAATGAAAGATCACAGCAGATATAAGATAGCCTGGAGCACTATTTGTCATCTGACGCTTGTCGCAAATTGAAATACATCTTGTCACGCTCTATAGCTTGCTATGGCAGTGAGCCAAATTGCAACTCAACTGTTACAGCATTACGCACGAAACAAATTAAATAGTGTCAGGTATATATGCGTCATTGACATTGGTGGTGCATTTGGTATGTGTGTAGCAACAACAAGTCTGTGTACGAGTGCAGCCCTGCTCTGGAATGTGGCTTTTTATACACCTGTGAAACAGTGAAAAGTTGAAAATATAGCCATTTTCTGTGATTAGCCACGCTTAAACCTAAATGTCAGTGAAACAGTAAAGACCCATGTATCATTCCGGTGTATACTTTCATTCTTGTGTTGAATCTCGCAGCCTAATTGTGGTTATCGATGCTGAGCAATCGGTCAAATTTGAAGCCTGGCGGAGGCATATCAGCCACTCAGACCCTTTGAACACAACTATGAGACCCCGTAAATGCCTGTCGACTAACCTCAACTGTTCTGGGTGCATATGAGTAGTGTGGGCAATACATTGCACCGAGTGCTTTCAGGACAGACATCAGGAGATTAATGCGATTAATTGAACTAGATCACACTTTGAAAAACCTGTGGTCGGCATGCACATATCCATCTATATCGTCACATCCTGATGTGCTCTACCATATCACTAACTCAAGTTATCATCTACTTCCGACTACTCGCATCAACTTGTAGCTTTAGAGTAGGTGGATGTTGAGTATGTTCATCACACTGACAAGGACAATAGCATATGTTACGAGTTCGCAGCTCATGGCACTTCGCAGCAGCTATTACCTGTGATTTCCCACTGTGGCATTCTCTAGATCCACTACCGGTTGTGTCGTGGAGCAGGGCAATGAAAACGTTCAATAGTTTCAGTCCTCACCAACTCGCAATGCTTACCCTGCTGTGAAATGGTCTTGACACATCAGCCAGTCGCTTTTGAATGCATGTCCACTGTGTCTGTGCGCTTAGTAACCTGCCACATCAAAATATTGACATACGAACACCACCCCGGTACATTTCACGTTCGTTGTTGTGGCTCTTTTCTCCTGAATTGCTTGGTAACATTCTTCATCCCATCCCTCATGCCTGGGCGTGGTGTATATCACACTACACTCTGATGAGAACCTACCACACTCTCTTGATCAGCAACCCGTACCAGCCAACAGCAGGGGCAATCCGCACATCACTCCCCGTCCCCACTCCCGACAGCACCCCCTACTGCCACATCACGTAGCCATGTTGTCCATCTCCGCGTTCTCGCTCAACGGCAATATCTCATCATCAGCGCTTTCGTCACTGTCTGCGTTGTCACCCGCACTCTCGCTCTCGTCCTCGAGCGCTTCCTTCTCCATCGCATCATCGCCGGTATCCTCCCAGTCGAGTGCCGGAAGGTCGCGCACAATATCCTCCAGTGCGGCCGTACAGAAGGTTTCTATGGCAACGCGCTCGGTGATTGGGCCATACGTGTAGTCGAAAGCGATCTGTGACGTCCCCGCCTGTGGGTAGGTGATGCATATACATTATTAAATGAGTTAGTACCTTCTCTGATTAAATGAGTTAGGACATTCTCTGAACAAATGAGTTAGTACATTCTCTGAAAGCAGCATCGATACATGCAATGTATCGTAGGTCACCAAGACACTGAGAATGTTTCTATGTTGTGGAGATTGAAGAATGATCTCTGTGTTCCTAATGTTTCAGCAGGACGAGACCAAGGAAGACGGGACGGGTCATGGCGAGTACTGCAGCTCTATAGATTTACATGAAAATAGTACTATAGCCCAATCGATGTACATTGTAAGTGATAATACTCGTACAACCTGAACTCATTTTGACTTGCTAACGCAGTTTGATTACAGCCAGACAGCACATGACAGCGTGAAGCGAATCAACTCTTTGTTGGGCGCCCGGACCCAGTACTGACAAACACGGTCCACGTATGCATTCACAACACCCACAAACAGATACAACCCGAAACTCACACGTGTCACAGCGCACATCTCTTACAATCCTAGGTAGTGGTAACACCCAATTCCCAATCTTAGCTATGAGAGCTTTATTGATAGCCTGTACACCCGGTCGATCAGCGTGGGCCAACACAGCAGTGAACACGTGCCCCTCCTCTGAGCGCTTGGCTATGATCTTGTTGTAGATGTCTCTGTGCTTGTAGTACAGATCGGCTGTCACATACTCCAAGGCATTAAGGTACGACACTGTGAGTATATCCCCACGGTCCTTTAGTAGCCGGTTGATCTCGGAGGTGCTGGCGTCTGTACAGAGCAAAACGTACGTATTGCATGAGTACTGGCTTCAAACTCCACAAAGACACATACATAGATAAACCGAGTAAACCCCCTATGTATCTCATCTCCTATACACACACAGACACACACCACACACATACCCAATGAAAGCACCATGGCCTGCCCCTCCGTCTCCCACAACTTGAGAGTCTCTACAGCCACCAACTGCATCATCGTGGGTGGTGGGGCGTGCGCTGCCAATTCGGTGTGCACACCTTGCATCCCCTGCCGTATATCACTAAATAACATCCACGTAAGTGGGCTGGCTTTCACCCGAAAGAACCCGAACTTCCACTGTCCGAAGAGGCGATGATCGTGCTTGAGACTGGGCACACCGCTTTGAGCCACGAGATCGGCAGTGGTAGGTAGGTGGGCAAAGGGGTCTGCCTCGTGCGGAGAGGAGACGTGGTGTCAGTATCAGTATCAGTGTTAGCGTCAGTGTCAGTGTCAGTGTCAGTGTCAGTGTTGGTGTCAGTGTCAGTGTTAGTGTTAGTGTGAGTGTGAGTGTTAGTGTCAGTATCAGTGTCAGTGTCAGTGTCAGTGTCAGTGTTGGTATTAGTGACAGTGTCAGTGTCAGTGTTAGTGTTAGTGTTAGTGTTAGTATTAGTGTTAGTGTCGGGGTTAGTGTTAGTGTTAGTGCTAGTGTTAGTGTTAGTGTTAGTGTCAGTATCAGTGTCAGTGTTAGTGTTAGTGTTAGTGTTAGTGTTAGTGTCAGTATCAGTGTCAGTGTTAGTGTTAGTGTTAGTATTAGTGTTAGTGTCAATGTTAGTGTTAGTGTTAGTGTCAGTGTTAATGTTAGTGTTGGTGGCGGGTACGGCAACGTAGAATTAATATGACCAGTTCAAGAGAAAGTGTCTACAGATTGCCAATACTTGTTCTGTTGCATTCACTGTCTGAGGACTGGTGGCGCGTGCTGCATGCTGAGATGCACACATGTGTGCTACTACATCTCCATGGGTGGGAATGTGTACAACGCTGGTCAGTCCGGATAAGATCTGTCCTGAACTTTGGGCAAGGCCAAATATCCAAAATCTACCGAAAAGCTTGAGGCACGGCTACATTTTGTAGAGGAAAGAGCCGAAATGAAAGCCGAGAACGGGGTTGATACCTGGAGTGATTGCTTTTTCTAACAGTATAACGGGATACTTTAGCACATCTTTTTAGGTTTCAAGGTTTAGGTGATTGTTTTTTCTAACAGCATATCGGGATACTGTAGTACATCTTATCACGAATCACGGCATCCTTCTAAAGACCATCCGCTGGACACGTTAGTACAACTTCTGTAACATTCGTGCGGTGGTAAGTGCATCACGGCCAAACCCTCAGAGACTGCAAGCTGCACGCAATCACGATACACGAAGACTACGGGGCACACACACCGTAGATAGCCAGTGGCAAGACAAGGCACCAGACACGTACACACCATCCTCTATCAACTAGGCGAATCTGTACACACTAAACTCTGATGTGTACACTATACTCTAATCGCAACAGATCAAGCCCAGAACTCCTGTGCAAAAGGTATTGGCACTCATGTGTCACACATGACTGTACAACTCCCGACCATGCGGGTGTAGAAGCACTAGTGATAAGACTAGTAAGAAGGACTAATAGGAAGTCTAGTGAAGACTAGTAAGAGGACTAGTAGGAAGACTAGTAGGAAGACTAGTAGGAAGACTAGTATGAAGGATTAGCAGGAAGACTAGTAAAAAGGACTAGTAGGAAGATTATCAGGAAGACTAGTAGGAAGACTAATAAGAAGGACTAGCAGGAAGACTAGTAAAAAGGACTAGTAGGAAGGACCAGTAGGAAGACTAGTAAGAAGGACCAGTAGGAAGTCGAGTGAAGACTAGTAAGATAGACTAGTAGGAAGACTAGTAAGAAGGACTAGCAGGAAGACTAATAAAAAGGACTAGTAAGAAGGACTAGTAGGAAGTCTAGTGAAGACTAGTAAGAAGGACTAGTAGGAATATTAGCAGGAAGACTAGTAAGAAGGACTAGCAGGAAGACTAGTAAAAATGACTAGCAGGAAGACTAGTAAAAAGGACTAGTAGGAATAACCAGTAGGAAGACTAGTAAGAAGGACTAGCAGGAAGACTAGTAAAAAGGACTAGTAGGAAGACTAGTAAAAAGGACTAGTAGGAAGACCAGTAGGAAGACTAGTAAGAAGGACTAGTAGGAAGTCTAATGAAGACTAGTAAGAAGGACTAGTAGGAAGACTAGCAGGAAGACTAGTAGGAAGACTAGTAAGGACTAGCAGGAAGACTAGTAAAAAGGACTAGTAAGAAGACTTGTAAGAAGGACTAATAGAAAGACTAGTTAAAAGGACTAGTATGAAGACTAGTTAAAAGGACTAGTTGGAAGACTAGTAAGAAGACTCGTGAGAAGACTAGTAAGGAGGACTAGTAGGAAGACTAGTAAGGAGGACTAGTAGGAAGACTAGTAGGAAGACTAATAGGAAGGCTAGTGAGAAGGACTAGCAGGAAGACTAGTAGGAAGACTAGTGAGAGGGACTAGCAGGAAGACTAATAAAAAGGATAGTCTAGTGAAGACTAGTAAGAAAGACTAGTAGGCAGACTAGCAGGAAGACTAATAGGAAGATTAGTAAGAAGGACTAGCAAGAAGACTAGTAAAAAGGACTAGTAGGAAGACTGCACAAAACACAGCATGCGGTAGTGCCACACTCACCACAGAAGGAGACAACCGTAGCTGCGGATAAGGTGATGTTGCATCAATCTTTTGGGGACGACGAACCCAACACTCAACCACAACAGCAGAGTGTGAGGTTTAATCAGTTACATGTCTCACGCAAAGATACTAAACTCAGATCCATCATCCCCACGGCCCAGCCAGCTATCCTGTACTTTACGACACGCCACAATCTAAACCCTAAAACCACACATAAAACGTTATAACTACACACAACCTACCCCTAAAGAACTCGACCGTAGGCTCAGCGTACACGACGTTAATACCAGCGCTCAGGTACTGCAAGACGCTGTCCAGGATATCTGTGAGTGAAGCAGAGGCCTGTTGTACAATCACTCCGTCAAACTGCGCGGCTGTGAGTGAGGCGAAGGTGGTCTCGTCCGTTGTCATGGCAACGATCTTGTACTTGTAGTCCTTCTGTCTGTGCAGAATAGGCAGAGGTCTTAGCAAGTCACTATGTATACGATGACTAAGCCACTGTATATATTATCACAAAGCCACTATATATACTATCACTAAATATACTTTTCTGCTTAGTTATATACAGTATGAATAGGTCTGTTAGTTCCATCGTTCCCCCAATACAAAGCTACATGGGTGGTCGGTGAATATGATATTGCAGTCGGACACGCTGTTCTATCGTATGCGTTTAAGGTCGGGTGGGAATAGGTCACAATACAAACCCCACCAGAACTCTCTCTCGCACATGTACCAGCAGGTGTGTGAGATGTCCGTCACCGTATGCACTAACGGTTGTGCTAAGTCAGTAAGCAAGCCATCTCTGAGACATATTAAACTCACACTAACAATGAGCACACTGACATGCCGAACTCATGTGTCAGCTACAAAGACAAATACACTTGCACATGCACATACAAATACACATGCACATGAACATACACATACACATGCGCATGCACATACACATACATATACACATACACATACACGTAAACGTACACTTAAACACTGTGTCGGATAGTGAAGAAATACACGTGTGCACAACAGCCCAGATTCAGAGATGTGTAAGTGGCGTATCGTATGGACTCACCTGTATGAGATGATAGGCGTGAGTGGTGACACTGCAACACAGACGGACCACTGCGCAAGCATTGGGAGAGCAGTACTCACACTAATATACAGGTGTAGTGTACATAACGCTACAACACACACATATGTAACATACAAATACACCGTCACACTAATATATATGTATAAAGCTTATATAACGTTACAATACACACACATGTATCATACAAATACACCGTCACACTAATATACTTGAACAACGCTTATTAATCATTACAACACACACATATGCATCATACAAAAACACCAGAGATACGTGCACACTGGGCTGTGAATGGAATACATCAGATAAAACCACACGGACAATTAAAAAACCCATACAAAACCGACATGAGACACAACACTGTACCACCTCTTATTCAGAGGGGTTGTACATCCACCACACACCTGTGGCTGCACATGGCGTTGTAGAAGAAGTCCAGGGTCGACGCCCTCACGTACATCAGAAATACATCATTTTGGAATAGCGATGCCCTTTCTCTGTCGAGGGTGTGTGAGGGGTATACTACGCCCGTATGTGACTGCAGCTGAGCTTTTAAGTCCGGGTTGATGGTGGGTGGGGGTTGCTGATGCGTGGGGTTGGCTGGTCTGTATCTGAATTCTTGGGATGGATCGTCCGTGGCAGGTACCGTTAAAGTCGTCTGGGTTGTGGGCAGCTCTATGAAGTGGTTGGAGATATGTATTAAGTACGGGCTATGACAGTCACGGTATACTATGTGGACATATTCATAGTATGCTCAGTAGAGTTATGGGTCTGAAAGGGAATACAATTATGCAAGTATTAATATACATATTGACAAATTGAAACAGCTATATACGAGCCAGCCACTACACTTTAGCTTCAGATATAGGCAACAGGTATTTAAACGTTGATTTTGATATTACGCCTGCAAGATAGGCGCGAAGACGTTAAGAATATCTTGGAGCCATTAGTATATGAGGAGCAACTTGGCAATTAAAATTAACATTGTAACCTAGATACTGTCATGCAAATAAGCATCTAAAAATAGATGTATATATAAATATATTTACATATATTCTTATATTTATATACATACATACATACTCAACACGCAAGCAAACAT